AACCGGTGGTATGTACCTAGACATTGAAAGGCAACATATGAAAACTATATACAAAAGTAAAGATGCATCCGGGAAAAGCAGCCAAGAACGTGTCCATGCAGAGACTCTACGGTCAAATGGCCACTGAGAGGGGAGAGGGGAGGAACATATATATAGAAGACAGAATCCCGCAGTAGAATGCAGCAGATTCTCATGAGCGGCTCCGTCAGGAAGCGGGTAATGGCCCTTGGGCGCACTGGTATCTAAGAAGAAGGAAAGAAATGCAAAAAAAAACGGGAAGAGAAGGAAGAAAGGTCTAGAGGAAAAAGATGAAAACACAGAAAGGCGTTAAGAAATCAGAACCTCCAAGAATGTAAGCTACATTTTGGGACGCCCCTAAACCGGTGGTATGTACCTAGACATTGAAAGGCAACATACGAAAACTACAAAACTAAAGATGCATACGGGAAAAGAGCCAAGAACGTGTCCATGCAAAGACTCTACGGTCAAATGGCACCTGAGACAGGAGATTGGAGGAAAATATAAATAAAAGAAAGAAACCAGCAGTAGAATGCAGCAGCAGATTCTCATGAGCGGCTTCGTCAGGAAGCGGGCATTGGCCCTAGGGCCCACTGGTATCTAAGAAGAAGGAAAGAAATACAGAAAAGAACGGGAAGAGAAGGAAGAAAGGTCTAGAGGAAAAAGGGGAAAACACAGAAAGGCGTTGTTGAGAAACCGGAACCTCCAAAAATGTAAGCTACATTTTGGGACGCCCCTAAACCGGTGGTATGCACCTAGACATTGAAAGGCAACATATGAAAACTACAAAACAAAAGATGCGTCCGGGAAAAGCAGCCAAGAAAGTGTCCATGCAAAGACTCTACGAGTGTCCATGCAAAGACTCTACGGCAACTGAGAGGGGAGAGGGGAAGCACATAAAAATAGGAGAAAGAATCCAGCAGTAGAATGCAGCAGCAGATTCTCATGAGCGGCTCCGTCAGGAAGCGGGTAATGGCCCTGGGCCCACTGGTATCTAAGAAGAAGGAAAGACATACAGAAAAGAACGGGAAGAGAAGGAAGAAAGGTCTAGAGGAAAAAGGGGAAAACACAGAGAGGCGTTAAGAAAACGGAACCTCCAAAAATGTAACCTACATTTTGGGACCCCCCTAAACCGGTGGTATGTACCTAGACATTGAAAGGCAACACATGAAAACTACAAAACTAAAGATGCATCCGGGAAAAGCAGCCAAGAACGTGTCCATGCAAAGACTCTACGGCAACTGAGAGGGGAGAGGGGGAGGCACATATAGATAGGAGAAAGAATCCAGCATTAGAATGCAGCAGCAGATTCTCATGAGCGGCTCCGTCAGGAAGCGGGTAGTGGCCCTGGGCCCACTGGTATGTAAGAAGAAGGAAAGAAACACAGAAAAGAACGCGAAGAGAAGGAAGAATGGTCAAGAGGAAAAAGGGGAAAACGCAGAGAGGCGTTAAGAAAACGGAACCTCCAAAAATGTAAGCTACATTTTGGGACGCCCCTAAACCGGTGGTATGTACCTAGACATTGAAAGGCAACATATGAAAACTATATACAAAAGGAAAGATGCATCCGGGAAAAGCAGCCAAGAACGTGTCCATGCAAAGACTCTACGGTCAAATGGCCACTGAGAGGGGAGAGGGGAGGCACATATAGATAGGAGAAAGAATCCAGCAGTACAATGCAGCAGATTCTCATGAGCGGCTCCATCAGGAAGCGGGTAATGGCCCTGGGCCCACTGGTATCTAAGAAGAAGGAAAGACATACAGAAAAGAACGGGAAGAGAAGGAAGAAAGGTCTAGAGGAAAAAGGGGAAAACACAGAGAGGCGTTAAGAATACGGAACCTCCAAAAATGTAAGCTACATTTTGGGACGCCCCTAAACCAGTGGTATGCACCTAGACATTGAAAGGCAACATATGAAAACTACAAAACTAAAGATGCATCCGGGAAAAGCAGCCAAGCAAGTGTCCATGCAAAGACTCTACGGCAACTGAGAGGGGAGAGGGGAGGCACATATAGATAGGAGAAAGAATCCAGCAGTAGAATGCAGCAGCAGATTCTCATGAGCGGCTCCGTCAGGAAGCGGGTAATGGCCCTGGGCCCACTGGTATCTAAGAAGAACGAAAGAAATACAGAAAAGAACGGGAAGAGAAGGAAGAAAGGTCTAGAGGAAAAAGGGGAAAACACAGAAAGGCGTTGTTGAGAAACCGGAACCTCCAAAAATGTAAGCTACATTTTGGGGCGCCCCTAAACCGGTGGTATGTACCTAGACATTGAAAGGCACCATATGAACACTACAAAACTAAAGATGCATCCGGGAAAAGCAGCCAAGAAAGTGGCCATGCAAAGACTCTACGGTCAAATGGCAACTGAAAGAAAGAAACCAGCAGTAGAATGCAGCAACAGATTCTCATGAGCGGCTTCGTCAGGAAGCGGGTAATGGCCCTAGGGCCCACTGGTATCTAAGAAGAAGGAAAGAAATACAAAAAAGAACGGGAAGAGAAGGAAGAAAGGTCTGCAGGAAAAAAGGGAAAACACGGAAAGGCGTTAAGAAAACGGAACCTCCAAAAATGTAAGCTACATTTTGGGACGCCCCTAAACCGGTGGTATGCACCTAGACATTGAAAGGCAACATATGGAATCTACAAATATCTACAGAACTAAAGATGCACATGTGAAAAACAATCAATATGGAAAGTTGAAAGCCACCTGGAAAGGCTACCAAAAGGTCAAAAGGCCTTGGAATGGCTCAAGGGCTTGAAACTAGGTTGGGTTGTGGAGGTAAGAGATGGCCAGGGTGGCTGGGTCCTAAGAAAACCATAAGAAACGTGTAACGCTTATGGTTTTGTTATGATTTTGATATAGTTTTGATATGATTTTGGTATGTTTTTCCTTTTCCGAAGGATGGAGGCAGGTTCCCCAAAGCGACCTGGAAAGGCTACCAAAAGGTCAAGCTTTGGAGTTGCCCAAAGGCTTGAGAAAAAATAGCAAATCATACCAAAACAATAACGAAACCATAAAAAACATACTTTACATGCATGCTTCTGTCACTGGCTTGGAAGTCTTAAAAATAGCAGGAAGAAAAGGAAGACGGTCTAGAGGAAAAAGGTAAAACACAGAAAGGCGTCAAGAAAACGGAACCTCAAAAAATGTAGCTTACATTTATTCAAAAAATGTAACTTACATTTTTTAAGCCCAAAGTTGCAAAAAATGTAGCTTACATTTAGACAGGTCCCCCCCACTTAGGGGTGGGGATGGTGAGTGTGGACCGTGCACATGGGTCCGGATTGCTGGTCGGACACCGGGAGGCACGGCATGGCACTATTGACTATTCACACAAGGGTTTTGACGATTTTGAAGAGCTCTATTGTCATCTATGAATCTATAGTCTATATCTTTGTATATTATCCAAAGAATTACCTGATCACCACTCCAGAATCTAGAAACGGGACTTAGAAGGACCGCACTTTCTCTCTGTTTCATCTCCAGATCTAGTCTAGGGTGACCAACGCAGATGGCGGATGACTGTTGGAGCCCTGCGTAGCCCTGAACGTGTTCATCGGAGAACTAAACCCGTATGATCTTGTAGGATAAGTTGGCAGATCGTGGAAGCACGGTGGGCAACAGCTCAACAAAAACCACGGTAAAAACCACCAGCGCCTTGTCTCATTGCAAACAGTCATGCTTGAGAGAAAGCCTTTTGTCAGCAACGGGCACAGGTAGGGATGAATGTGAACGTGCATGAAACCATGACTCAAGCCCACAAGTGACAAGTAACAGCCAGCAAGGACACTCACAACAGCATATCAATAGAAGGATCGGGGTTCACAAGAAACATAAAGTGCAACATAACAGGCTTCAGTAACAGATTTCTTATGGAAGTGATGCTTTGACCTGGACTGTTGCACAAAACTGCGTCGGGATGCCATGCGTCTGGGGGTAAGAGGCTCGCGATGCCATGCCGCGTGCGAGTCCCAAGGGTGGTAGCAGCATTTTTGAAATCCTCAAGCTCATCCTAAATGCCATTGGAGTGGGTGCGATCCTTTGGTGGTGTGTGGCTTCCTGGCGGCTTCATAGCATCAACCCTGCGGCTTCCTCGGGTGAAGTCCATGTGCCTCGCGTGGGGAAGGGCCGCAAAAAGACGGCTCCAACGACTGTGGTGCCTGTGAGTGCGGAAGAGGAGCTTGGCCAGAGCAACCCGGACGCCCAAAGTGGCCAAAGCAGTCCTAAGGTGCCCCTTGGTGATCCTTTTTGGGTCTTTTGTGCAAGTCAATGGTCCCACTGTTGGTGTCATGGCGACATTCGCTGGGGCAACGAAGAGACTTGGCACATGATTCCTGCCAAGCCGGGTGAAGCGCAGAAGATCGAATGCAGCATTGATCACTTGCCAGATGTAGTGCCAGGCGACGATTTGAAGCATTGTGAATGCTTGATCACCCCAGGCACAGAAGTCTACAGGAGAACCAATCCCATGATCATTCACCAAGACGAAGCTGAACGTTTAGGTGCAACGCTGGTGTCTTCTTGTGAGCTCTTCTTTGAAGCACGAAAGGCGCAGGCCGTCGATATGGCCCAGTGGCTAGCAATGGAGGGCCTTTGCTCAGAGGCTTGGGACACCTGCCAATATCTAACATCTCAATTCAATTCATCACTTTTGTCAATGTCTTCTGGCCATCCGGGTTGGGGCTTTCCCCCAACCCAAGCCTTCTCATTTGGTCACGTAAGAGAGAAAAAGACAACCCCGTTTCGCCTCTGGTCTGTAAACCTAAACGCCCACTTGATCATCCAAAAGTTCGGTGAGGGGGTTGTTTCCCTTCACCTCAGATCAGAGTGGTGCATATACGTGGATTTTACCAACCCACTGCCCGCAGTCACCGGGTCGCACCCTTCGCTTCGTCGTAAGGAAGAGCAGGTGCGCTTCAATCGATCCTTGCGCGCGGGGCCTCGGCAGCTGAGCGTGGAGACACGACAACACCTATTCCGCGCTCGAGTGGATGTTCGCTTCAAGAAGATCATGGCACGCTTCAGTGAAAAGGGATGGTTTAAGCGTGGATGGGTCCATTGGATGCATTGGCTCTTATTGGATGCATTTGATTTTTGATTTTGATTTGATTGTGTAGATGGTGGATGTTCGATATGATAGGAGTACAGAAGGGAACAGCTCCTGTCTTCCATGCTGTCTACATCAGGTGACCTATGTCGCTGGAGATCCCTCAAGCCCGTTCGTCAAGATGGCTGAGGAGCTCATCAAATCCGTTCACTACTTCTCGTCTTGGCCGATCATTGTCTTCAACTTTGGCCTCGTGATGCCCGAAAGCTGGACCCCCGAACGCTTCCCACGCTTGGTGATTCTGCACTCCACACCCCTGCCCACGGAGGCACATTTGAAGAGGAGCTTCAACTTCAACAAGCTGAGGTCCATTTTGATGTCCAAAGTGCACACTGGCATTCAAGTGGATGTAGACCAATTTATTGCACCAGGGGCTGATATCCTTTTTCAGCTCACCGAGAAGTGGATCCACAAGGAGTATCCCTTTCCATTGATGCCTGCGCACTTTGCAGATTGGAGCATCAAGGACCAGCCCAATGCTCCTTGGTGGCCCAGGTATTGCCCTGATCCAGAGAAGCCATGCCCTATGCAGACCATGCGATGGGCCCATGCCCATCCAACATGGACCTATTGGGCCTTGCCGTTTTTTGGTCGCTGGGTCCGTCGACACTTCCGGGATGAGCGCCTCCCCAACGTCACCCTGCGGGGCTTTCAAGCGCCCGGCTTGCGCGTGGGGGAGATTCCAGAGGACGAGGACATGCTCAACGTGGCCTTGTGGGAGGAACGTGCTACCCAACAGTGGTGCAAGTTCGACGTGCCGGCGACCGTGGAATTTGAATCCCTTCTCAACTGGAAGCCAAGTGATGGAGACCGATGTCTTCATGGCATAGGCTGCACCAATATTGGTGGAGATCAGCGCTGGTATGTTGAAGGGGTGCCCAAGGTCTATTGGACTGCTCACCACGCGGTGGATCCGGTGCAGACCTCAAAGATTCTAGAGCTCATCCGTGTAAAAGAAAGGGCCGGCAAGTGGCCACCTGCCATTGTCTACGACCAGAACTTCTGGAAGTCAGGGGAGGAGCTGCATGCAAAGCATCCTGAATTGAAGTGCTTGACATAATGTGCCGAGTTCCCTGTGGACTCATCCGATCGCACGAAGTCGACAAACGGGCTTCAGGTGTGTTCGCGTCAAAAGTGCCGTGGCGCTATCTTGGAAAGTGCTCAAGCACAGTCACCATGGAAGGTTAGTTAAGGTTACTTACCACTATATAGTTGCTGCCACCTCTCTAAAAAAACAAGACAATTGGTAGCCAAGCCAGAATGTGAGGGGTGTTAGTGGAGGACTATGGTATCGAAGCCCCGCAGTGCAGGTGGAGAAAGCCGCACTGCCAACGCAGCCCCGCAACTGGGACTGAAGGATCTGGGCCCATGGGCCTGAGAAGTGGCCTGAGAGTAGAAGACTAGACATTCTTAACATAGAGATGCTGGGAGGCACAGACCCTGTTGGCCAGCCCGTGCATGTCCATGCCGGTGCAAGGCCAGCGGAAGCGTCGCTCATCGCTGTCATTGCCGACAGGGACACCGCAGCGCGTCGGGCCCTTCAAGACCTTGGAGGAAGCAGCGCTCACGGCCACTTCGACGGCATACATATATATATATATATAACTCTCTCTCTCTCTATATATATATAGTGGATCCCTGCATGGATTTTTCAGTCAATTTAGGGCTACCAAAAGGAGATTGGACCTTTTCTTGAACTTCAGGCAGTTCCCTAGCCAGGGTTGGCGTGTTGGCGGTCGGCCTGGCACGGTGGTTAGCACGGGTTGAGCATTCGTGAGAAGCGGATGCGAGCGGATGAGTACTAGTAGCTTCTTGTTACTAGTAGTAAGGCACCTGTTACTAGTAGCGATGCACTTGTTACTACTAGCTTCTTGTTACTACTCCACACTAGGCCACACCCCAAATTCTGTGGCTCGCAAATGCTTTGATCCGGTGTTGACAGCTGCCTGGCGTCCTTCTCCAAACGAAACAGAGTACATCTCGCCATGCAGGTGACGATGGAGGTTTTGCCCAAGGGTGCCTTAGGCGAGTGCTGCTTTCACCCCAGGGACCTAGTCAGTCGCAATGGATCAGAGTCGCACTAGCCCATCAAGGAGTAATTAGCCAACACATGCTAACACTGACCAATCCGGGCAGTTATAAAGCAAGGGCATAGAATTGATATTTGCATCCAGCACATATATAAGATTATACATATATATATATATATGTGTGTGTGCAGCCAAGCCATGGTTCCAGAGCTAGACTAGACTTGGAGCTCAGACTTGAACTCAGGGCCCTTTGGAGATAGAACAGCTCGGATTCACTGAAAGTTGCATGGAATGGCAAGATGCAGACTGAAGCCCTGTTCAAGGGAGCACTGAGCACTGAAGAAAGCCCTGTGCCACACTTGGAGCACACACTTGGAGCCCCAATAGCATGTAGCTTGACCGTCCAGGTAGGTCAACCAAGCTCAAGGAGTGGAGGACGCACGTGGACTCGAGTGCAAGTCATGCCGGTAGGTCAACCAAGGTAATTATCCTGGTTTGGACCATTTTGGACCCACAGCCATGTGAGTGATGAGCTAACGGCATGTTTGTTTGCAAAGCCCGGAGGTTTGCCAGCCCCATCGCTGCTTCCTGCTTGGTGGGAAGAACTGGGCTTGGTGCGGTCAGATGTCTCAATTGCATCGCGCTGAGCCTCAGGCGCAGAAGAGGGGAACAACAGGTGGAGACTCCCAGCGTGTGGGCACGAGCAAGTAAACGTAAACGACTTGATGACATGACAAGAGCATGCTTGCACTGGAAAGTGTCTGGCAGGGGGGAAGAGCCTACTGCTGCCTTCTCGCAGGGATGTGCTGCTGCGTGCCCAGCAGGATTCATGCTGCAAAGCCCGTGCAGAACAGTCATGTGGCCTCATATCAAGTACACCGAGCATGGTATGTTCCGTGCTTGATCTTTCTGGAGCCCTTGAAACCTTGTAATTAGAACTGTCATGTGACTGTGAACAATGCTGCATGGACTAAGCATGGCATGTTAAGATCAGAGCTGGCCATAACTGGCCCATCGCCATCACGTTTCTCGGTCCTGCACCGCATTGGCTGCGCAGCCAGTGAGGGTCGGGTTAGACTTCGCCCGCTTGTTCGAGGTCTGTTTTGAAGTCTTGAGTTTTTCGATCAGCCGATTTCGGCAGCCCCTTTTCGAAGGATGCCTTGGAGATACTGGGCCTTGGGCACGGCATGTTTGGTCAGAATATTCATGCCAAGCCGAACCCAGCAGATAGAAGACTCGACAGCTTAACTCTCAAAGGACACGCGCATTATATATTTAATGAGTTATAGCAATCTAGATCATCTCAATTGAGAGTGGATCTTTTTCACTGCGGAGCAAGTGGTCCAGTGATCCGTGTTTCAGCTTGGTATCTCTTCAGGTACTGCACAATTAAAAGACCATGGTCTCACCCCAAAGGGGTGTCCTTCCACAAAGTAATATCAACTATTTTCGTGGAATCAGATGTCTCCAAAAAGTGCGGGCGTGTTTTCGGAACCGGTCTGTTCTCTGAAATGAAGGCCTTCACTTCTTCAAGACCCGGTTCTTTGATCGCCTCCAGCGTAGCATGTAAACCACACTCCTGTGATGGAGTGTCTTGAGGTGAGGTCAGGGGAGTCAGCCTAAAGGGCAGCGGCATAACTTGCCCTGGAAATAGTGAAAGTTGATTGGACACTTGGTGTTGAACTATGAGAAGCTTCAGCTACAAGTCTCAGCGTTTCTGAGGGCTCAGCCTAAGAGTCTTGAGAGCCGTCAGCTTCAACCTATAGAGACTCTAGGCATCTCCAGACAATCATGATGTACCAAATTGCTTTTTCACCGCATTTCTTCCATCAAGAATTGAGCAACAAGACCCTTCTCGTGGGACAGTCACTTCCAACGAAACGGTTATCACCAGCTCTGAGCTGTGTCGCGGCTCCGGTGGGAGACGTCTCCAAAGCCTGGGACGATGGCGGCGATCACGGCCTCGCCCAGCCGTGTCTGGGTGAAAGAAAGGCCGCGAGCCGTGGGAAGGCGCATGGGAAGACCTGGCCAAACCATCTTCATAACAATTCAATCCATTAACCGCTTTTGTTCGAGGTCACTCCGGAGTGCACTTGAAAGCGCATGCAGTTCTTGATGTTGCTGCGCATCAGTCGGTTTGTTGCATCGCAGTGGCCCATGCAAACGACCGTCGCGCAGGAGCCGCACGTTGAAGCCTCCGGGCCCAACTGCCTTGGTCTGAGCCCCTTGCAGCGGACAAATTGGCGCCACGGTGTAGGTCGACTGCGCGTGACGCCAGGCCCTGTGGTCCAAGACCTCGCAATGGGCCTGTATTCTGGCCTGCTGCAGCAAGTCAGGTGCAGAGAATGGACATTTGCGAGGAGAGTGTAGTATGAGACGAAGAGGCTTGCGTAGGTTCCCAAAACGTGAAAGGCGAAGCATGGCGCAGCATTGACATGGAAACAATACCAGGAATCTAAAACCCTCTAAAGCCCATTGGCTCTTCACAAAGCTGTTCCTGGCCTTTCTTCACCAGGTACTGGTAGTTGGTCGAAGCCACTGCTCGTGGCCCGATGGTTTCATTATGTTTCAGTGGCCAGGCTACCATTCCCGTCGCTGGCGCGCACGAAGTGCAGTGGCCGGACGCTGAAGTGCTTGGGGGAAGTGATGAGAAGATCTGTGGGAACATGCATACCTGTGCCATTTTTGGACAGGACGTTTTGATAAAGGACGGCGATTTGCATTGAGACCTGACGCTGCTTGGCACATTGTTGCATTGTATTTGTCTGAGATATTCTTCATCGCTCCGCAGCCTGGCTCAAGCCATGCGCAGCGCAGAGCAGGAGGGAGAAGCCAATGAGGCGAAGGAGGTGAAAGAGCCAAAGAAGGAGCTTGTGACATCCGGTAGCTTACAAAGACTACTCAGTAGATCCAGCTCCGAACATAATGTGCGTGTGCGGGGCGGAAGCAAAAGACATTCATTGCTATATGATGTTCGCTTTTGGGGTGTCCTGTTTGTTATCGCGGTCTCGCAACACCCAGACAAGGAGAACGACACCGGCAACAAGAAGAAACCAGCTGCGGCCCCCGCTGCGGCCGCGGCTGCCCCTCCTGATGAGAAGAAGAAGGAACAGCAGAAGGACAAAGAACCTCCAGCCAAAAAGAAGCAGGACTGAAGTTCTCATCAAGAATCCATGTCTTTGAACATGTAGTATCAAGTTGATATGCCATGTGCCGTTGCTATGCAAACTTCACTACGAAGAGTATGGTGAGGAAGAGTTGTCCTTATATGCCCTCTCAAGGACCCTTTGTCTGATGAGGTGTGAAGTTTGGGGCTGGAAGCTGTTGGGATGTCCATTTCACGCGGGAAGTGTGCACCCTAGAGGTAAGCCCTGGTAAGCCACTGGCACAGGGCCTCCTGATAGAACCGTAATTAGCCACGTGCTAACGACCTGGAAACGCAATCCACGTGTAGCCATGAGCATGGTGATCGTCCTGGCGGCGAAGTGCTTGGGTCCAAGGTCCAACGCTACATACGTAGCTAGGTCCCCATCATGTGCTGCCTTTAGAAGCCTCAGTTTGGGTGGACCTGCTGGACACTTGGATGAGATGCATGTCATCACATAGTCTCATACGAAAGACATTGCTTGCAGTCAGTCCGCTGAAAAACCCTCGCTTTGACAGGTTGTGACTCAGATTGCTCAGTCCAAGTACGAGGCGGATCTGTGAAGTGAAGAAAACATAGTGACATGGTGTTTCTCGGAAACTGCTCTTCTATGAAGCCTCGATTGAGTTACTGTAGCAATGCCTCGGCACCTGCATTGTCGGATACATGGTGTGGTTGGTGTATGCATGTCATTTGGGTGTGCCTCAGATTAGGGAGAACGCCACACTAAAGTCACTAAAGCTTTCTTTTGGGCTGTTTCCTATTTCCAATGCACACACGCACACACCTTTGAAAGCTATAGATGCATATCTCCATGTTTCGGACCGACGTCGGATTTGACCCAGCAGGCACAGGAGGACAAGCTCAAAGATGTCGCCCGTCATTCTATGGCCTTGATCCGCACCTGGGCTCATCGGCGCCCGCCACTGGTGTCATGCCACCTGTTCTGGCATACAAAACCAACGTAGTGGACCTGAAAACCTCCAACTGAAGGAACCCCACTGATGTCACAGATGCCTCGGTCCGCCGTATGTTGCTGAAAACGTCCCTAGTGCTTAGCGGACCCAAACCACCACAAGGCAGGAAAGATCCCCAAACGAAGTCTCAGAAACGTGCACTTGGACGTCTCAGGGTTTGCACCGCAGGTGGTGCCATGGTGGTTCGGCAAGAATCGCCCACACGGAAGACGAATCGCCCACCAGGCGACCAGGTGAGAAAGATGGTGCATTTGACAGGACAAGACGCAGCCAGCACCACTTTCTTGCTCTTCTGTATCAAACGAAACGGGATACTGTAGACTTAAATGCATAGGTTTGCATGCAAGCGGCGACAGGTTTGCACCAAGACCTCCATGGCATCATTCCAATCCAGAACGTGTTTGTTCTTATAACTGGCTGGACGTAATTTCTTCTTCATAGCTCAACCTCGACTTCTGTCGAAGCATACAATCTTGCAAACCGTACGCCTCCTCTCAAAGTCTGATTGCAGGGAGTTGTATGCCGGTATAGTACGCCAGTGTATGCCGCAATTTGTCCCGCAGTATGTAGCCGGAGATCCTGTGATGTTTCACAACACTGATTGTCAGTCTCTTCACTTAGATGCTCAAAACTACACTGCATCTTGTAGGAAAAGATGTGAAGTAGGCGTGCCTTCAAGTGCGTTACCAAACAAAGCTTCGAAGGCTTCGCTGACCCGAAGAAGACGCAAGTTGTTGATCCGATTCTTTCAAGCTAAGAGGTATCAAGCATGACTGGGCTGAAGCCAAGGGGACTTCCATAAGATGGACGAGCAAGACTGTTTCCGAAAAATTGCGGATATACAGTGGCTTGGTCGCAGTCCACTCAGAAGCGACTAAGGCAAACATGGCAATTCGGGTGGGGTTGGGAGCTTCACCAGATTCAACACCTTTGGCGAAGCCAAAAAGGTATGGATTTGGTGCTCAGACCCATCGCGAGTATTGAATGTTAACTAGGGCTTGATCGCACGCCGCAGTTCCAACACCATATTGAAAGTTCAGTTAGAAGACAAAGCGTGAACATCGTATTTCGAGCCCAGAAGGCTGGTCAACTTCCCTGATCCCCCAGCTCTCACCCTGAGGAGATGTTTGGTGAAGTACGAGATGCAATACATCCGTGCTTGGGAGATTGAGGATAAGCGCCGGCAACGCGAACTGCTGGACTTGGAAGCGATGCGGCTTCGCTTTCGGAAGGCCTGGGAGGGGACAAAAAGAGGGGTGAGGGATGCTCCGGTGTAGACTCTTGATCCCAAAAAAACTCCATAGGAAGTGGTTTTACAATACAAATTGGGGGAGTTTTGCTAATCAGCAGTCTACATGAATATAAATTAAACGGATGGATCCAGCTATATCCAACTATATACTTACTTGAGAAGCTAGTTGGATCCAGGCCATCAGAGCCCTCACTCACTTTGATTCAACACTATCCGTTACATGCAACGCCGTTCTTTTAGCTTTCATGAGTCGGGGGTGCCTTCTTGCGCACTAGCCGTCACTAGCCACTGCGCCACTCTGAGTTGCCAGCGCCAGCGACGCTGTCAACCTGCGCCGTCAGGAGGGCGAAGCCGAAGAAAGTCAATTGGAAGGGCAAAGAGAGGCACAGACACCTCATCATCGCAGCTCCTTGTTCGCCTGCCGCAGTCTCCCTTGCCTTTTGCTTAAGTTGCTTCTTCAGCGTGGATAAGCAGATGGCAGATGACCAGTCATCAAACAGAAAGAGTCAAGTCACATTCCATCCTTTTCTCGCTTCTTGTGTGCAACTGGAGTTCTGGGAGGTGCTGCAGAAGGGACTGGCCAAGCGGAAGCGCTATGAGGGCCCCTTGGCAAGGTTTGTTTGATTGACATGTTTTTTTGGACCAGGTAGCCAGCTCGGTTAGATCCTGAGAAGTAGTAAGTTTGTATGCGTAATATATATATATATATTTGCAGTCAGGGATCAGAACTCAGTATGCAGAGCAGAAGATGTGTGCTGCCTTTAATCTTAAGAATTTGCCAAAACGCCGGGAAGCGATGGGGCCCAAGCGATGCCCTACCAGAACAGGAAGGATGAACATGGATGAACATTGTTTCCTTTGAGATCCTTTGAGTACTTGTGGACACACATACCCTAGCTTACTGTTGAACAATGCCGCAAGAACTGCAAGAAAGCGATGCCTGCCCTCCAAGCTGATGTCTAGACTTGTCCAAAACTTGGGGAGTGATGGCCTTGTTCCGATGGCCGCCCCCAGTGCACCAATGCGGACGTCTCCAGTGGAGAGCGGTGCGTTAAGGACTCAGACATCACGACGCGGCGAGGTTCTCCCCAATTCTCGGGTTTGACCCGGAGCACGTGCACCCCCTCGTGAGGGGCCTTTGAACATCACTAGTGGGTTGCTTTTTCGTTGGTCATGGGTGGGGCTGCATGGGAGACTTCTCTTGTATGGCGGTCGACTTGGTGAGGCTATGAGGAGTTGTCGGCCTCGGTGAACACCAAGCGGCCGCAACACGAGTCCAAGGCTCACCGTTAAGTCGGACAAGACAAGAGGATATGAGAGGTCATGGGCCGTCGAATGCTAGGCAAAAAGAATAGGATAGAAGTTCACCAAGGGTGTCCAGGTACGTTGGGGGCACCGTCTGAATGCTATATGTGAGGCTTGAAGTCTTTCAGCACCTACATCGATCGAGCACAGCGCCTTTTGGAGAAAAGCCTGCAGGAAGTGGTCGATATGAGATCTATGGAGGGTCACCTTCGGTTTGGGGAGCACATTCATGCTGCAGGACCCTAGGCACGTTGACCACGTTCACTTACTCCAATTCCTAACGGGGAACGGTACGTCTAGTTAGTTCTTGAGCCTTGAGGCCGAGGTGGTCAAACACCCGGTGAAGGCCAACAGGTGTCCAGTTAGTTTAAAAGCGTACCATAGGCGTTGCGTTTGGACGGTTTTCCAATCTCAACGCTGTCCTGGGTTCCAGAGGCGCAAATTCAGAAGCTAACTGTGGAGCTCCAGCAAATGGAGCAGCAGCAGAAGCGGTTGGCCGAACTCTCTCAGCATCGGGATGAGCCAGGGGGCCTCAGTCGCGAAGTGGGGTTTGAGACATCAACAGTTCCAGAGCATTGAATACTCATGAGGCAACGAACCGGGGCCCCACCCGTTTTGAAATGCACAAGTGGTGAGACACTTGGAACTCTCCAATCAACTGGCCAGCAATGGGCTTTGTGTTGCCGGGACGGGGGTTGTGGGAAGTCACAGGAAGCTGTGAGCTGCATGAGATGTAGTTTGTTTGCTGTTGCTCATTTCTGCAGCAAATTAGGAGAAGCAAACTGCTCATGAAGGCCATAGAAGAGCTGGACAAGGACACCTCGAGAGCTGGCAGGTGTCTAAAGGCCCATGCTGCCCTGCAAGTTCTGAGTTATGAGGGCCCACTGCCCTGCACACACTGAGAACTACATCCCTGCCCTTGGCCAAAATTCAGGAGCCTATTTTCCCTGATCATGGCAAATACCCGTGTGTTGTGGGTGGTGGTGCGGACCATGAGTTTGCGAGGATTTGCTAGCAGAGCAAGAGTTCCGCTTCGAGAATTTTGGGCCTGATGAGCCCGAGGCAGGTGAGAGTTCAGCTGGTCAAGCCGAAACCAAATTTCAATGTGCTGTCATCATGTGGTTTTGAGCCGCACCGGTTTGAGCTGCCTCCGGTTTGGAGCCGTGATGTATTAGACATTGGGAAAAGGTGGGTAAGCTGGAAGCATGCGCATTATCGCGCATTGTTTCTCGCATTTGAGCTTCGCATGGCGTTGCATGATACCCTCTAGACCCTAGGTCTTTGCCATGCGAACCGCGTAGGGTACGGTTGGTTGATGCAAACCCAGACCCGCGCGGTAGCTTGTGGCGGACGATTGGGCGGGTGAACGCGTACATTATCATACATCGATCTTGCTCCGTGTAAACTGCGTAGGCCAAGGCTCCTTGGGCGAGAGAGCCAATTGCCTTTGTGGCTTGAAAGAAGCCGTGGTAATCAGAAAGTAGCTCCAACGAGCGCCCTCATGGAAAGACCGTCTAAATCTAAATTGTGTTTTCTCAACGGATTCATGATGATAAAACCATTAAAGTACTATATTTACTAATATATAACCTTCTGAAACTAGGAATGTGTGCAAGAAGCTGTGGAGACTACTGCACTGTGCTCCCAAAGAGTATGCAGTACCCAGCACACCTTCCAATGCAATATACGGTACTAACTATACAATCCATTCGATGGTCGGCATCATCCCAAACCATCGTTTGTGCAAGGCTGCTGATTCGAATGGAACTGCTGGCGAACCACCCGTAGCAGAGCTGGTGGAGCTGGTTTCATAGGCAAGTGTCAACCCTTGCCCAAAACGCTAGCGGATTGCCAACAGGCAAAACATAGCAATTCTTGAAAGGATTGTCGGATTAGTGGCAGGGAGTGCGGCAGGCACAGAATGGCTAGAAAGCGAGTCAAAAGTATGCGAGACGTTTTGACCGTTTCCGCACAATGATGGTGAAAATTGGTGACAAAGGCAGAAGTGCATATCAAGCAAGACTCCTGCGGCAAAGCCTAAATTTTCCAAGGTGCTCAATGTATGGCTTAGATCATGGCAAGCAAGAGCTTCATGAATTTTGACTTCATCAGTTATGACTTCCCAGTTATGGCTTCATCAGTTATGGACCCGAAAGGGTGGCCTCCAAGCTTTGCATGGCTCAGATGGGGCAAACAAGTGCTTTCCCCACGGGTGCACCATGGTCTTTCCCATGTTTCAAGAGTGGAACGCCAAGGCAACCGATGACGGGATGGGAATCCAGGTGCCGCACTGGCGGATTGGCCCATGCTTTCAGGGCGCGCGGATGATGATTTTGGTTTGGCTGGGTTGGTTGGTCATGCCAGAGCCTCTTAGGCCCTTGCACAACAGATCAAAACAGGTTTGTCAATTTTGGTTGTGTGCATCTCATGGTTGGGAACTTGGGAGCCAGGGAGCCAAGAATTTGATGTTCAATCAAGAAAAAGGATATGCACTGTGAGCACCAGTCAGGAACAGTCGGAGTGAGAGCAAGAGCGAGAAAGAACATGATAAAATAATGACAAGCAAAGAGGAACCAGACTTTGCAGAGAGAGAGAGAGGATTCAGTCCCTCCTTTCTGTCAGAGTGAGAACAGCTCCGTTTTCAGCATAATTACTGTGTGAGGTGGCCACGCCTCCTGTCATGGGTGGTCCAGTTGGAGAGGTGCAGCTGCACCCAGCTGCGTTTTGACACTTCTTGAGATCAGTTCTCAGTGACATTTTGCTAGAAGCCTTGGAAGCAGGGGTGGTTTGTCCAAGCACGCTGTCACTTCTGCGTTTCAGACGTTTCTTATTGATCCCTAGTGAGTTGAGGTCAGCTTAGAAGGACGCCGCATTTTTCGTATTAGCCAGCCAGTTTTTGGCTCAGACAAAGCATTTGTCCTGCAAGTCTGCCTCCTTTCGTTGTGCTTCTGACATCTCCATCCAGGCGGCTCAGCATGAAGGAATCTTGAATGAAGGGACTCTTCTTCATCTTTGCCATGCTTGGTGTTGCCTTGCAAGGCTGCGGCTGCAATGAGGATGGAATGACCACCTGCGCCGCCAACCCGGTCACTGATTGCACAAGTGCAGTAGCGGCTATGCGGCTATGATGTGCATTCCCGACAACGGTTGCTGCGACATTGAAGTGAACGTCAATGGAGTCAAAGTCAGGGCCGGGGATGCAATGATCAGTTCTGAAGTAGCTGCAGTACTGAAATCAGAAGGATGCGCCATTCTGACCGGGGATCCTTGCGGATAGACGCGCTTGATTGCCAAGAGTGCGGCAGGGGCTTTCAGTGGCACAAACAAGATCGTTTCTCGCACATGGACTCGGCTCGTGAGCCAGTGAATAGAGCAATGGTGGCTTTGCTAGAAGCCTTGTGCGGTATTGTTGTCCATGGTCGTTACTGTAGATTTTTTGGCCAGAACGTGAGCAGGGTTTTTTTGTTGCAGCCGATGCTGAATTGAACTTTATTGCTGATGGATTGGCAAGAGGTAGCACGACCTTTGTTGAACTCATGCTTCAATGGCCAGACCCTTGCTTTGCCCACAGGTGCCGTTCGAAGAACCCGACTTCCAGGACTGGGAGATGGCACACGTCATTGCTAAGGAAGTGCAGTTCATTGAATTGCCTCATAATAGAGAAGTCTCGTGGCATACCCTGCCTACCTGCCACATACCGCCGTAGCAGATCCTTACAACATCTTACACATACATACAGTCGTAATAATTACTGTAGGTAAGACCATGATGGTTCCTTGTAGGTTCCCCAGTCACCATGAGTCTGAGTAGATCTTGGGTGCTTAATAAGGCCTTTCTGTGTGTGCAACCCTTGGAACTTGGAGTCAGGGCTTTTCTGGGCTTAGGGAAGCATCCACTGGCCATGGATGTGTCCTGACGTGTATACACCCAAGACTACAAAAGGGTAATTATATTGTCGGCAGACTTGTTTGTCAGTTCTCTTTCTCTTTCTCTACCGCTATGAGTGGTTCTTTCGCTATAACGGGGTTTATTGCTTGCCTATACTGCAACATGAGGCTTTCCATTCTTTGACATGCTTACTGTACAAATACTATCGAGCGATTCGTTTGTGTGCACTTGCAGCTTGATGCTATGCACATTGTACCATGACACTCTTGACTTTGGACTTGCTATTTGATGCTTGACATCTTGTACCCATGCAACTTTGGAACTGAGACTTTTTGGTGTCGGGATTTGAGACCACCGACCTGTTTCCTTACGCCTCTTTCATGCTAAGGTTTCCTTGTGGCGTGAGGCTTTAGATTTTACGCATCGTATCTCGAGTGTCTCAGTGTGTCTCTCAATCTTTGAAAGCCCAGGTGGGCCCGAAGTAGTGCCCTCTGTGGCCCAGCCAAGTTGGGGGTGAAGTTGTGGTGTGCAAGCAACAGCAGGAGTCCGCAACAGATAGCACGAGCCATTGATGGCAAGCGTTGCATAAGACTTAACAACTCGCTTTGACTGGAGCAGGCCTCTGAGCCTAAAGGGGTCCGTAGCGGACAAGAGTCTAAGAACACAAAACCTGCGTCGTGGCCCGCGCGATGCGCTCAAAAAAATGAGAAAGTCCAGAAAACCATTTCGTGGCTTCATAAGCTGTTTGTAGGTTTCTCACATTTTCTTGTTGGTCTTTGAACATCTTTGAACCAAAAGCAGCAAGAAAGCCGAGAATACCGTTTTCGCCGTGTTTGCGTTTTTGCTGCTTTCCTGTTTTCGCCGTTCTCCTGTTTTCGCGGTTTTCGTGCTCTGGCTCATCTCGTGTTTTCGCGGGTCTCGCATTTAGTCGTAGTCGTAGTCATTCTCTCTCTTTCTTTTGTGGTGCACTGATTAGGTTTGGCACATTGGTTGTTCCCAGTCAGCTGGTTTCGTGTCTATCGCCTCCACAAACACACACTGCGCTCTTTTTCATGTCGTCCCTTCATGTCTTTCCGCTTGTCTTCTTTTGCGCGCGTATTGTTCCTTTGTCCCGCTCACTATAGCAGGAGGCTCTCCATTCTTTGACTTGCTTACCTATACCATCGAGCGATTCATTTGTCCCGCTCGCCGATTGGGGACTCGCATTTGGGATTTGTAGCGGCTGCAACTTGATGTTTTGCATTTTTTGCCATGAACACTTTGGGGTTCATACCACCGATACCACCTGTTCTGGGGCCTCTTTGATGCCACCTGCTTCCCTCTTTCATGCTAAGGCTTCCCTGTGGCATGATTTTTGGGTTTGAGATCGTACCATATCTGGAGTGCGTAGGAGTCCCGTAGTGGTCACAATGTTTGAGAAATGAGTTCTGAGGGGTTGGCACCCCCTGCAACATGTCATTTTGTAGGGGAAGTAGGCATCCAGGCATGCAGTGGAATCTTTATTTTGTTGGTTTGCAGCGCTGTGAGAAGTCTTGTGTGTCCTACATCAGGGTTTTATTGAGTTTTCTTAAATGCACTGATCCCGAATAATATGTTTGCTTTTTACTATTCCCAACCCCGTGAAACCAGGGTGGATGATATTTTCCAAAACCGATGTAAAGGGCTGGTGGAATCATCAAAGTATTATTCCCCAATAGCCATGCTATGGGGTCTTGCAAAACTAATAGGCGGACGGGCGCCGTCGGGTCACCGTCAGAGCTGGTGGGCGGATGGTGTCCCGGTCATGTTTTGATGGCGTCCGGGTCATGTGATGCTGGTGTCCCGGTCATGTTTTGATGGTGTCCCGATCATGTTTTGATTGTGACCCAGTCATGTTGTGATGGTGTCCCGGTCCTGTTTTGATGGTGTCCCGGTCATGTTTTGATGGTGTCCCGGTCATGTTGTGATGGTGTCCCGGTCATGTTTTGAAGGTGTCCCGGTCATGTTGTGATGGTGTCCCGGTCATGTTGTGATGGTGCCCCGGGCATGTTTTGATGGTGTCCCGGTCGTGTTGTGACGGTGTCCCGGTCATGTTTTGATGGTGTCCCGATCATGTGATGGTGGCGCGGTCATGTTGTGATGGTGTCCCGATCATGTTTTGATTGTGTCCCAGTCATGTTGTGATGGTGTCCCGGTCGTGTTTTGATGGTGTCCCGGTCATGTTTTGATGGTGTCCCGGTCATGTTGTGATGGTGTCCCGGTCATGTTTTGATGGTGTCCCGGTCGTGTTGTGACGGTGTCCCGGTCATGTTTTGATGGTGTCCCGGTCCTGTTGTGATGGTGTCCTGGTCATGTTTTGGCGGTGTGCCGGTTATGTTTTGATGGTGTCCGGGTCATGTGACGGTGTCCCGGTCATGTTGTGATGGTGTCCTGGTCATTTTGTGATGGTTTTCCCGTCATGTCATGTTGGTGTCCGGTCACCTTGTGATGGTGTCCCGGTCATGTTGTGATTGTGTGCCAGTCATGTTGTGACGGTGTCCCAGTCATGTTGTGATGGTGTCTCGCTCATGTTGTGACGGTGTCCCGGTCATGTTTTGATGGTGTCCCGGGTGTCCCGGTTATGTTGTGATGGTGTCCCAATCGTGTTGTGACGGTGTCTCGGTCATGTTTTGATGGTGCCCTGGTCATTTTGTGATGTTGTCCCGGTTATGTGATGATGGTGTCCAAGGAAGAGATGGTCGATGTGTTGAAAACAGCAGCTGTTTCCAGATTTTTCTTTTTGTCCCGGTTTGTATCTTGCTATTGGGGTCTCCAGCTGGGCTAATTCTCAGAGGGGGATGACCTTTACCCGCTACTAAGGTGCCCTGCATGTTTTCATTATATTTTTTGTACGTACTGTGGTTGTCAACACCAGGCGCGCACCTCGTCATCCAAAAACAGTGTGCAGAAGGTACACTCTTAGGAGACAACAAACCCTAGGCCGCGACCACGAGGTAGCTTCCTTTGAGATTTTTGTCAATTACAGTCAGGAAGGCAACCCATCAAGTTGCGGACATACACCAGGTTTCGAAGTCATTTCATGCCAGATTTGCATCCAAACACTGCAGTGCAGACGCTGCAGCGAAGTTCACGTGCAGTAGAGTTGCTTGGTTTCTGACATCCTTCCCGCTCTCAGTGGTACTGATCAGAGGCAAACGGAAGGGTAGTGCACAGAAAGGGTGCTGCAAAAACCTATTCTACTAACATCGTGGAAGGCGTGGGACATTCGTAGAACCCAAGGCTATTTGTGGACAGTTCGTGGAATGGTGGGCCAGTAGGAGAACTGACTGCAACGAAATTCCAGAAACCTTCGCAGAACTTCGTGGAAGGTATTTTTGATGCACTAACTTCGTATAAGCGATTTTTGCTGACCCCCTTTCTCCACACACCCTCCATTTAGCCTTCACTGAACAACTCATTGCAGGAAACTGCGGGAGACGTGGAATTTGTGAACAGCTACAAGGTCAGGGAGCTCAGTTCCGCTCCTTTCATTTCAAAGTGCGTGAAGATGTGAATGACCTGTGAAATGCGAAGTGCCGTGAAGCAACTGTAGCTGCAGCTAGTTGAATGGGGGCAGCGGACGGCAAGAGCACGTCCGCAGCCCATCGGCGTTTGATGTTTGCTGGTCTGCTGGGGACATGTGGCTGCCAGTATCACACTGACACGGTGACACATGTTCTGCACCAAAAGAACTGCTGATAGTTGGACCAGCCTGTGAGCTGAGTGCACATGCGGCATAGCGGGTGGTCCGAGCACCGCATTGCTCGCGGCGGTGCTCGCGTTGCGCCAGCTGAGGTGGGAGCAGCGGTGGTGAAAATTTTCGTCACCAGACAGCGCCCAGCCTTGGTGGTGCCATGGCAGCCAGGATCCAAGATGTTCACCGTGATGAGCCGCCATGCGGTGATTCGGTACCGGGCAAGCAAGGAAGAGGGTTGGAGATAGAGAGAGAAGGAGGCAACAAATCAAAGAAAGAGAGAGAGAGAGAGAGGGAGAGAGAGGACCAAGATCAACAACAAGGGAGGGCAGGAAGGCCACAGACCCTCCAATCCAGGCAATGAAGAAAATGCTGAGAGAGCAAGAGGGGTTGAGAGAGATGAACCGAGGGAGCGATTTACATACTATCAGATACTATCACTTGACAGCCGGGTTTGCTTCAGGATGGCTTGCTTCAATGCAGATGCACTTGAAAGTCCATGTTGTTATCCATGGTCCAGTCCAATTCATTTCCAACACTGAGGACTCAGCAGGCAGGAGCCAGAACAGGAGCTGAAATGGATACAAGATGATGATAAACCCAAATTGAACAACCACCAAAAGGTATCAAATCTACTGTCACTATGACATGGATTCGCACTGCAGATAATGCTTACCTCTCGACGATCAGAGTTTGGTTGATGATTTTGCATGGTCCACAGATGATAACACATATTTTCAATATAGTGAGTAAACTGTTCATCTTCAGGTTTATTTAGATGCCACTAGATGCTACTGCATAGAGATGGTTGAGGATCAAATAATTGTTTCTTGCTAGCCTTTTTCTTATCACACATCGGTGTGATTCAGGATAACAACCGCATCTACTTGGCTGGCACATGTTTTTTTTTTTTTTTTTTTCACCTTTTGGCCGACAGGTGGAGTCCACCAGTGGCAGCGGAACCTTCATCCGCCGGCGTGGCGTCCCACCGGCATGGTACCGTCAGCGAAGCTGCTTTACCATCATGTATCATCCGCCAGGGAGACCCCTTGGAGGAGGATGTGAATGGCCGCAATCATTTGGAGCTTGGGTGCCTGAAACGACACAATGAGGACAGCCGCAGTTCGGCATAGAAGCAGAAGAGTGAAGAATCAAAAGGGATCAAAATAGTTTCAAAAAAGTATATATAATAGTGAATTGTTTTTCACATCATGTTCCTTTGGATTTTCTTTGTGTGGTTTGCCAAGGCCCATCACTGAGGTTCATAGCGGACCTATCCGGATCTCACACCCAGCATCCACGGATCCCAAATCTTTGGCCGAAAAGGACGGTTGGTGGGAAACAATGGGAAGTTGTGAGTACAACTGCTCCTTCTCCGGAGAGCTTTCTGGAAGTACAGCCGCACAGGTCAACATCACATAACAGCTGAACCGGCTGAACCATGACATAACAGTCAGTACTGGTCGATACTGATCTATACTTGATATTACTTTATAGTATCGCTTCATCAAGAAAGCAAGTCGTAGGCAACCGCAAGAAATCGCCCGTTCATCGGTCGCCCAATGAACCGCTCCGGTCGGAGCTGAGTGGAGCTTTTAGGCCGCCGTATCTCCACTTCAACGACGTGAATCAGGCGGAACGTGCTGGAGCTTTGGATCCTGGCACTGTGGTGTTTGCAAGATGCCCAAGGAAAGAGAGAGAGAACATGTAGACTCAAAAGTAGATGCCGTGGAGAAACAGAACGGGCAGAACGCAAATAGAAGGAGCCAAGTTTGTTGTCCTTGATTCTTGGATTGACGGTACCTCTCCTTCGTGACTGGTCCATCTTGCAATGAGTCCTTTCAGAATGTTCACTGTTGGCTAGGAGTGGAGTGTCCACGCTTTCAGGCCTCCAACCCCCAATGCTAGAATTGCCACAGTACTGAGACTTATATACACCTTACGTTGTTTGCCTTTGTTTGCAGGGTATGCGTATGTAAGAGTTTGATAGAGATTGTAGGTGCAATGACCTCAAGATACGCAAAGAAAGGTGAATTAAATATACATAAAATATTATGCACCCTTTCCCTTGTCACTTTGAGACCAGGAGGCTGTTCGCTTCTGCACCACAGGCCATTGAGAGTTTCGATGCAGACCTCGTCCTCACAGCTGCTCACGTCGTGGCCGACGCGCACCTCGGATGCCGAGAGCATGGCCGCACGTGGCCCGACGTCCGCTGCGGCCCAGGCGGGACATCCGTGTGCAGCTGCTGGCGTGTCCTGGCGCCTCACCGGAGTCTCGGTGGATGGGGGCGATGCCCAACAAGCTCCTATTAGCTTGTTGCTCCTAGTGGTAAGGCCAGGAGCCCTTAGTAACGTTCTTGCTACTATTAAGCTTCCTGGATGTTAGCAAGAGTGCAAACATGTGGCTTTTGCTGCAGCACACCGAGGAGAAATTCTTCGCACGTGTCGTCGCTGCCGCAGACTCAGCGTGGGAGCTGGTTGGGGTCACAGAACTTTAAGGCTGATTTGGTCAAAGAAGCCCTCAAACATGTTGATCGCGTTTTCCGTCTCTGCGCTAGGTTGCACATGATTGTGATTTGGCCCTCCTGGAGGCTGGAATCAGTCGAAGGTGTCAATCTTCCACACATCCCACGTACCCCTTTTGGCATGCAGACTTTCCAGATCTCATGAGATGAGGGGGGTCAGCGATGATCAGGGCTCACTGGCGCCTATAACAAAACCATACTCAGCCTGTGCTGAGGAGTCAATGAATGTCAATGAGAAGAACGTTATTTTAAAACGTTCTCCATGATTCCATGTTTGTGGTGAAGGAAAAATATCCACCTGGACCGCTGACAGGTCCGCGACCCGCGTTGCTTCGAAGGCCCGGCCCCCTTCAAAGGAAATGATGACTATAACTACTGTAATATATAAGATCGTCTGTTCGCGCTCAGGGGCCACACCCATGGAGCTGCTGAAGCCGCAGGAGATGCTGGAAATGCAGTCCAGGGTGCAGGCAAAGCGAAGGAGAATTCAGCAGGTGACGTTGATGGAGCACTGAAAAGTGTAGCAGGCGGCGAACTGCGGTAAGTGCACATAAGCTCCAGAGTGCCCACCTGGTGACTTGGTGTAGATGGCAATACTGTAGATGGCATAGCAACACGACACAATCTGAATTGCCGCATGTGGTGTACTAAGTGTACTCCTTACTAAAGGCGTGGCTGACAGGTCCAACAAACTTCTCAGTTCTGTGTGAAGAAGTGGATCGCAATTTCCTTTTCTTGGCAGGTGATGGGATTCCCCATTGGAGGGGACTATTTGAGCATCACAGAGGGTGTTCTTTCCCGCATTGAGGCGGCACCGTTTGTGTGTGTGTGGGCACCAACTGGAACATCAGGAGTTGACATGGAACCCATAGACACAGAATTCCACGCAATATTCCACGCACACTGTACTTATAATATACAAGTGCGGACAGCTTTGTTTCAATATCAGAGGCATCATCGTTTATTTGGAGTTTCCTGCTTGCAACATACCCAGACTATCCTTGGGGCAAAGAAATCTGCCTTTTTCGGGAAGAGCGGTATCACGTTTCTGCTGCGCACATGTTTTGTTGCACATGTTCCCCTTCAGGGATCTAGTGAGATGAAGACTATAGAGGCTCTGAACAAGCGGTTTTGGAGATGGCATCGAGTCGTTTTCACTGGCGAGATCAACTCACTGAGAAAAAGAAGAATGGCCGCACTTAAGCTTTCACCTCCACACGCAAATCTGGCTGTTGTCGTGTGACACTATGCTTTTGAACGTGTTTCTTGCTGTGAATGAACCCACATGGAGTAAAGCAACACTAAAGTACAGAAAGCTGGTGCGGAAGTACCCAGGAAAACGGCAGGGATACTCTATAAATACTCGTCTTCGAAGATGGAACGGGAGAACAACACCAAGATGTCACATAAGCCTCGCTTGCCTTGTGCCCTTCACATATGTGCATTGGTGCTTTGGTGAGAACGGGAAAGTCTTCCAAAATCGATCCCTTTTCAACGAGCAAAGATCGACGATCGACCAAACCCATTTGTTGGGGGTTCTCCATGCACATCCAGACGCCCCGCAGCGGTTCCATCCGTCCAGGTGGTCGACTATTCCCACAGTCGAAGGTCCTGTTCGAGACTCAGACGGGGGATGAGCGATGAGCTGTGATATCTCGGACTGGCAAGGGTAACTTGAGTTGGTCAACTGGGAATCTTATTCGCTGCAGCTGCGTTCTGGATGTGGGAGGAAGTGCTGTCACCTCCGCCGAATGCAAACCATCTCAGGAAGAGACCGCATGGTTATTCAATATACACACACACTGACACTTGAAAACCTTGCGACTTGAAATGGCTAAGGATACGCCAAGGATATGTAGGTGTAGTCGAAGAATTCCAGATGATGTGATGACGCGCTCTGTGAGGTTTGGCCTTGACGGTGGATGCTGCCATCAATGCTGGCAACAGCGGGGGGCCGGTCGTGGATCCTTTGACCGGCCGGATGAGCCTCAGCCAAGCTTGATATTGATATAATTATATATTATATATACTCCGCCCTGAAAGTTTCTGGCGCAAGTCAGGGTTCCCGGGAGGTTCCCGGATGCGCCATCAATGTAGTTTTCCTCGCTATTTTGTACCTGTAGATGGCGCATTTACAGGGAGAAGGGGGTGCAAAAACGCAAACGCAGGAAAAAATGAGCTTGCAAAAACAAGTGAAACCACGCGCTATAGATGGCACAGTGCACATCAGTGCAAAGCCATCCAAAGCAGTCCAAACCCCACTCAAGCCCATCGGTGCCCATCCTACTCTGTCTTTTACTTTTTTTCCTGCTTTTCCTTTCTCTTTCTCTTTCGAGCACTCACCTGCCCTGCACATCAACTCACTGTCAAGCAAATTGAAAAAATACTGTAGCAGAATTGCATTGCGCCATGAATTGACTCTTTGTTTTCAATTCTATTGTTATTCTTCCTATTTCTTCCTCGTACATACTGTGAAGCCTATCCAGTCCCATCCAAGTCAAGACCATCCACACCTATTCAACCCCATACAAATCAGTGCAAAGCCATCCAATCCAGTCCAAACCCCACTCAATCCCATCGGCGCCCATCCTACTCTGTCTTTTACTCTTTCTCCTGCTTTTCCTTTCTCTTTCTCTTTCTCTTTCTCTTTCTTTCTCTGCACAAGAGATTCAGCTACTGTAGTTCTACTTTCTAACTGGAGTATATAGATGGAGCGTGCAGTCAGGGGTCTCCGAGTACGAGGGTTTTTAGCTTAAATCTCGCCCTTTATATATATACTGACGGGATGCCTATTGATGGCGCAATTCTACTGTGGTACTCTGGCGCTCGTGGCGCTGTCTTTTTTCCCCAAAAGCATCTCCGATGCTTGGGTTCTCGTTTAGTCGCTAGTGCCGGGGGAGAGCGAGGAAAAGCTTACGTTGTCGGGGACGGAAGATGGAGGTGGAGGTGGGCGGGGTTGGGAAGGGAAGAGGGAAGGGAAGGAAGAGGGAGGGGAAGCAAGGGAGGGGACGGGGTTGGGGAGGGAAGATGGAGGGGAGCGAGACGGGAGAGCGAGGCGGGAGGCGCGACGGTGGGGACGGGGTTGGGGAGGGAAGATCGAGGGGAGCGAGACGGGAGGCGCATGGATGGGGACGGGGCTGGGGAGGGAAGATGGAGGGGAGCGAGACGGGAGGCGCAAGGGTGGGGATGGGGTTGGGGAGGGAAGATGGAGGGGAGCGAGATCATTGCAGGCCGCTCTGGGGCAGTGCAAAAGTAGAACGAAGCATGGGTGGGGGTAGTGCTGCTCCATGCTTCGCGGAGGCACGTGGGGAGGAATGCACGCGGCAGACATGGTTGCGTTGAGCACATGGTCGCACCACAAGCATCAGCGCAGGCTGCTCTGGGGCAGTGCACAAGTAGAACGAAGCATGGGTGGGGGTAGTGCTGGTCCAGCTTCGCGGAGGGACGTTGGGAGGTGAATGGAGCGGTGTTGCGGGGCTTAGGTATGGTCTTGGGTGTCCAAAATGTGTACAATGCCTGCGACAGGCAATGTTGCGTTGAGCACATGGTCGCATCACAAGCATCATGGTAGGCCGCTCCGGGTCAGTGCACAAGTAGAACGAAGCATGGGTGGGGGTATAGTGCTGGCCCATGCTTCGCGGACGTGTGTTGGGTGGTGAGTGGAGCTGTGCTGGGGGGCTGATACGATGGGGTTGGGTGTCCAAAATGTGCACAGTACATGCGCCAGACAGTCAAGGCATGGCCGACACGGGAGGAGCGTTATGTGCCACAAGCGCAACGTGGGAAATTGCACGGTTGGAACGAACCTTGGAGGGGGCCGATACTGCTCCAGGCTTCCTGGAACGGTTGTCAGAAGCCATGTTGCAATGTTATTGGAGACTAGCTGCAGATTGAAAACAAGCAGTTGAATTATATATAACACCAAAAATCCGTTTGACCCCTTTTTTGACAGGAAAAGGCCATATTTGGGACAGTTGACCCTCCAAAACAGGGGTCACTCAGGTTCCAGGTATATGATACATCCAAAAGCCAACCCGACGAAAGACGGAACTGCCCTGCGTGACCCAAACTGGGGATCCGTCGGAGACCGTGCGGCGCAGAGTCGGACGGAGCCCTAGAAGTACGCCAGGGGCTGGGGAGGGAAGATGGAGGGGAGCGAGACGGGAGGCGATGGGGCTGGGGATGGAAGATGGAGGTGCATGGGTGGAGGGTGAAGATGGAGGGGAGCGAGACGGGAGGCGCATGGGTCGGGAGGGAAGAAGGAAGGGAGTGGGAGGCGCACATGGGTGTGGACGGGGCTGGGGAGGGAAGATGGAGGGGAGTGAGACGGCGTGGCTTGGGTGTGGACGGGGCTGGGGAGTGCATGGGTGTGGACGCTTGCGCGGCTGATATGCTAGTTAGGAGGACATGGTTGCACCACAAGCATCATTGCAGGCTGCTCCGGGTCAGTGCACAAGTAGAACGAAGCATGGGTGGGGGTAGTGCTGCTCCATGCTTCGCGGAAGCACGTTGGGAGGTGAGTGGAGCTGCGGGGCTTATACGATGGTCTTGGGTGTCCAAAAAGTGCGCAATGCACGCGACAGACGTTCAAGTCGTGGCTGAAACGGCAGGATTGTTGCGTCGAGCACATGGTTGCACCACCAGCATCATTGCAGGCTGCTCCGGGTCAGTGCACAAGTAGAACGAAGCATGGGTGGGGGTAGTGCTGCTCCATGCTTCGCGGAAGCCCGTTGGGAGGTGAGTGGAGCTGTGTTGCACCAGAACCGCGATGCTTGAAATATCATAGTTGCCACGAAGCCTGGAGGGGGCTGATGCTTCGTTTTGGCCTGCTAATTTGTGTTTGTTTATTTTTCCTGGATTGTGCGCTTCTTTTTGCTTTTGGGTCCGCGGGCTCAACTTTTTTGTTTAAACCAACTATTTTCAGCCCGGTGTATATATACGTTACGCACTCTCTCTCTCTATATATATATATATATATCGACTGTATAGTCTATATCTATATCTATATATATTATGCGTGTTTGATTTGTGCTGGTGTGCTTTCCCCATATAACAGGAAGTCAAGGGGTGGTTTACGAATTCTCCCAAAAATTGGCAGGGAACTCAAAGTGTTTTTGTGCATTTGTTGGGTTTTTTGTTTAACTCGTATCTCGATTTAGGCACAGATATGTGGAGCGGTGTCCAGTGAGCTTCAGGGGCCTTCTTGACAGAACACTCTATTTGGGGTTATGTTGGCATGCATTTTTGGGTTGACACTAAGAAGTCGAGGGCGACTGCGGGCAATTTTTTTGGTAGAAGAACATTTGTATACATTTGTATATGGTATAAATTACTTACTTATAGTTGGTGTTTCTTCTGGTTGCCCGGGGTCGAGATGGTAAAAGGATTTCTATCCTGCCAACTGGAAGTCCCTTACTGTTATGAGAATCTTACAGCCACAGACTGGGGGTGGACAAAACATTTATTTTTTCATTTCGCTTTCGTTTTCATCATCATTTTTTTTTCATGCCCATTTGTGTCTTTTTTTCATGTAAATGTGTGTTTTCGTTTGCATCATCATTTTTTTTACACGCCCACCGGTGCTTTTTCATGCGTGATTGCGTTTATCGTTTGCGTCCCCTGAAGCTAAGGCTGCCAAGTCACTTACTCCTGAACCCTCTTTGCTACCCGCTGCTACCCTGGTCGGCTAGTCACTTTCTTCTATTTTGCTTTAGCTGTTGTGAAATGTACTTAAACTGTCGTTCACGCGTTGCCGAAACTATCTGAACTTAAAACAACGTGAACAGACTAAATTATATACATGAACACATGAATTAAATTACAATGTTGCCAATGTGTGGCCGAAACTAGCCAAAGCGATCATGAAAGACAAAAGAATGCTGGAGCTCAATTGCAATTGCCTCCCCTGAAGGAAAGCGGCCAAGTGAGCTAGTCCTGAACCCTCTTTGCTGGTGGATCACACATGTCCTTCTATTTTGCTTTAGCTTTTGTGAAATGGACCTGACTATCGTTGATTTGTGGCGCAAACTAGCCAAAACGAAAAAGACATGAAAAAGAAAAACGAAAAATAAATGAAAAGCAAACACGAAACGAAAAAAAATGAAAAAAGAAACGAAAAATAAATGAAAAGCAAAAACGAAACGAAAAAAACACGAAAAAAAAATGAAAATTTTTG